CTTATTGCACGGTCACAACCTTGAGTTCCTTACAGTCCACGCAATGGTCTTGGCTTGCCATCTAGTCAGCCGACGGTTACCGGTGAAGGACAGCCACAAGATGATAGATGCTATCCTTTGCTTCCTGGAGTTGGGGCCATGGTCCGTAAGGCTAATCCTCCGATATTGACATTGGATTGCACTAGAGTGGGTGCAGGCACTGCAGGGATTATTTCTCTATCCTCTTGAACAGTGACCGTCACTCCCTGCTCATATCAGCCTGTGCGATCTTTTCACCAACCAAGACTCTTTTGCCACCCGGTATCTGGAATTGAGAAAAGTATCAGATGATTTGATCATTGCTACTTGTCTGTAACGAGTAATGGGGCCCTGCGGTCCTTCTTTTGCGGGGAAACGAACCTCACTCCTGCATGGATGTATTGTTCGTCAAATAACAGGTCGCGAAGGTCGCGACTTATCTCCCTGAAGTCGTGGTCGGGTTTCGGAGTGACGAGGTTCTCAACCCAGTGCCATGCTCACTACTATTATTGTGATATACTTATGCTGCATAGCGCTCTGGTAGAATTCTGCAGGCAGCCGAGGAAGCCCCGGCGCTATCAGAGATGGTCTGCCATGTACTCAAGTAGAACTTGGGGATTCCTTGTTCAAGTACTCTCTAAGTCCTAGTATAGATATCACATTTCTCCTGTCCCTGGTATTAAGTCAGCAAGAACAGAGCATGGGAGATATACTGCGCAAGGGCCTGACCGACTCAAGAAAAGGTCTGAGGAAAACTGTCTTCGGTTGACCGGAATCTTGGGCTCAACATCTCGTTTTGTCCAGAATCTATTAAAGTTCGTATACTGGGCGGTGATGAACTAACTGACCACACGCGTCCAACAGGGACTAGAGACAATTAATGGAAGACATGGGGAGTGGTTGGAACGGATGTTGGATCTACCAATCACTGATGAATCACGCGTGGCCAGGCGCCTTCCAGCTGCCGGCAGCACCGAAAAGCCACAAAGGTAGTGACCGGGTCTAACTGTTCGTCTTTCGCTCGCGAAGGCAAAAAGAGAAAAACGGTAATATTGAATATTATTTTCTCTCATTTTTCCTTTCGCCCCCCGCGAAGTGAGAAGAATCTGGAGACAGTGGTGAGTCATCCATGCTGCCATGCAGTACAAATGTACAAAGTAGGTAAACGGTAGAGCCCCGGAATGCGGGGGAGGATGCAGCGGACCAGCGCGCACAGTTGATGCCGACGATCTTTCAGGGACTGCTCCCTCGCTTCCATTAGGAGTGCTGTAGTACGAACTAGCAACTTGCAGTAGTTAAAACAGTTGGAGTCGAGTCCTAAAATGATCATGATAAGTAATGATGACAAGGCATACCAAAATAATATCTCCTGGAAATAAAATAGAGATATTATTGCCAACAGGAATTGCAGTATTTCTATACATATTCTCTCTCTCTCTCTCTTCCACGCCCACTGTGCTTCGTTCGCCCTTCCGAATCCTTTCTCCGTCCCTCAAATCTCCCCCCAGTTGATTCTAATTCTGCATCTGAACTCCTCTCACCTTCCTTTCATCTTCTTATAATTGATTACTTTCTCCACCAACAGAATCATACCACCTCGATTCATCTTTATCACCTGCAGGACCATTTTGCCGTGATCCCCTTTTAATTTATCTATATCGTTATCGATACCGTTTTTCTTCTCTCCTCTCTACTTTTGCATTCCCCAGTTTTCTCCGTATTTTCGACGACGGTCTGCGTCCTGGTAGCCTCTACACCACACCTGCACCACAAAAAAAAGTCGTCCCGACTACACAGATGGCCTTCTCTGGCTGATTAGACTAGCATGTCTCAGCCGCGTGGTTCTTTTCGCTTGCTCAAGATCTGATTTGATTGAGCCAGAGCTCGTCCCTTACTATGTTTCACACCTTTGAGGGTTTTGAGAACCCTGGCGCCTCAACCCCGGTTAAGGGTCGGGAGCGCCAGCAGTCCATCGGGCGGAGAGTCACCACCCTTCGGGCCTGCACCTCCTGCCGACATCGCAAGATTAAATGCGATGGTGAGAAACCGTGTGAGGCGTGTCGATGGTACAAGAAGGCCGATCAATGCCATTATTCAGATCCCCGTCCTTCTCGGAGGTGTGTTCATCCCTATTCTGTGAGCTCTGTCCCGAGCTTTCCATCTTTTCTCCAGAGTAGTCGGAACAAGTGATCTGAACGCTATAGGCATGTCGAAAAACTGTCGACCACTCTAGACGAGTATCGGAGCGTCCTGGAGAAGTTATTTCCCAGCACCTCCCCCGAGGCCCTTGTCAGCCTTTCGCGTGAGAAGCTTTTGGAACTCTCGGGCAAGGGCCCGTCGCAGGTGCAGACACAACATCCGGCTTCGCCTGCCACGTCTGCGTCAGTCGAAGCCCACGTTTCCCCCATATCCAACGAAGATGGCACTTTGGAATCCTTGCAGACGATGCCAGAAGATCCAAGCGACAGCCGAAACCAGAGCACCAGCGATATAACGAATGGAATTTCGGACGATGTAAATGCTCTATCCCTTTCAGCTAAGCAGCCTTCCTCATACCTAGGCGTGTCCTCTATACACGCCGTCTTGAAAGTTATCGTTTGGCTTGATCCAGGATCTCTTTCCTATTTCTCTCGGACACCAGCGAGCGCTGCTCATCGAGATTCGATGCAAGATTACTCAACAGCAGCCGAGCATCAGAACTGGCACATCCAATCGTCCCAGCATCATCCGGTTACACCACCTCAGGCTCATATGCAAGCGACCGATTTGCAACTGCTCGACGCATACTTCACCTGGTTCCAACCCTTTGTGCCCATGCTGGACGAACAAGCTTTTCGCGAAACATATCTTTCCGGACACCGCAGAGACGACCGCTGGCTCGGACTTGTAAACATTGTCTTTGCCTTGGGAAGCATAGCAGCATGCCCGTCCGAGGACATGTCTCACAAGATTTATTTCCAGCGCTCTAAAAGCTATCTAAGCCTGGATTCATTAGGATCTTCTCACCTGGAAACTATCCAGACGCTCGGATTGATCGGCGGGTATTACTTACACTATACCAGTGAGCCAAATCTGGCTTACTCACTTATGGGAGCTGCGCTCCGCATGGCGGCCGCCTTGGGTTTGCACAAGGAGTTCTCATACAGTCAGGATGCGTCGAACAAACAGAAAATCTCAGCCATGGATCTGAAACGCCGAACATGGTGGTCGTTGTTCTGTATGGATACATGGGGCGGAATGACTCTGGGTCGGCCCAGCATGGGTCGTCTTGGTCCCACCATTACGGTGAAGCTGCCAAATCACAGAGAAACCGTACGCCTGCTCCCTCTGGAATACCCCATTGATTCTAACCACCAATAGGGAAACGTTCTTGATATCCTTCCCCTGCTTGAAAACATCCGGTTCTGCAAGGTTGCTACACAGATACAAGAGGTTCTGGCTGTTGCACCGTTGACGAAACATGCCGAGATATCCCAGTTGGACAATCAGCTGTTGGAATGGTACGAGAATCTGCCCTCCATCCTCAAAGACCATGAGCCATGCTCCGAATCGATTTTGAACACGCGGATTGTGATGCGATGGCGCTATTTTAACCAGCGCATGCTCCTGTACCGACCGACCCTGTTGAGCTATGCTATGCGGCGAGTTCCCTACATTGCGCTGAGGTCGGAGGAAAGAACCGCCATCGAGAGATGCAGAGAGATTGCTGAAGCCACTATTCAAGATATCTCGTCTACGGCCCAGTCACATCAAATGTCGGGCTGGAACGCTACTTGGCTCATCTACCAGGCTACAATGGTTCCTCTTCTGGGTCTGTTCCTCAATGACGCCACCGCGAGTGATCCCAGAGCGTCTTTCCAGTCCTGTCAGTCGCAGGTTGAGACGGCAATGATGGTATTGGCACGGTTGCAGCTCTGGAGTCCCACGGCCAAGCGAACGCTGGAAGCCGTCTCAAGAATACTCGAAGCCAGCAAACGAGGATCTGATATGGGCGGCGCAGCAGGCGATCTAGCCAGTGGAAGCTGCGCCCAGGGGCGCGAAGGCATTATGTCGGGAATGATGCCTGGAGTAATCTCAGCACAGACTGAACCAGGCCGAGGTGTCGCCATTGCAAATGACGGTGGAATGGTAGATCCGATGGCGCTGCCATTCATGGACGACACGGCCGGCCAGCAACTTTGGGATTTCCTCAGTTGGAGCGATCCAACCATCTTGTCGGGATTCTCAGAGATTGAAAACCCGAACGACATGAAGTGCGGCGGCAATGCGCCTGGCTTCTATGGGAGTCCTATGACCGATTCAACCTATTATATGCATCCATCCGTGCCCTTTTACTCGCTTGCTCAACCATAGCGACGAGACTTATATCATTGGGGGGATTCTTGATTGTTTATTATCTTACTTTAATGTACTCTTCTCTTGATATCCAATCTTTTGTATAAAATCTGGCACTTTCGTTCATATGTATACCTCGGCTTGTGGAAGTGCCGGAATATTCTGGCGATATGTGGGAATTATGGAACGACGTACACGAGCTGGTCAAGGCGCATGTTTGATGATGACTGGGATATGGACATTTGCAAATACCAATTCTTGATGCATATCGCTTGTTGCGTATTTTTCTAAAGTACCTTTCCCTGCTGTGTCTTGTCTATGACAGTTTAAGGTCTGCGATATGATTGGCCGCTGTTTAGCATCATGCTGAGTCAGCCATTCTGCCAGCAAAACATCAACCCAATTAATCCACTTTCTCATGGTCATGTAACAACCTGACCAGAATTAGCATTAATTGACCATGGTTGGATTATAGAGGTTACCTCTAGGATAGTGGACGCATGAACTCGTCCATGAAATAATTGCCGAGGAATTTCGACATCCTACGTCGCATAATTGCGTGCGCCTTACGGCCTGCCGTCTATCCAGACAACCAACCTGGGCATCATCCAAGTCTGGGACATCCTGGCAGGTGCTCCAAAGCCACCATGGCAAGCTTCTTCGGCTCCCCTACAAAAGTCATAGGCGCGTCTATCGCCCTGCGCGCCGTTCTACTTGTCTACGGCGCCTGGCAAGACGCCCACTCACCCATCAAATACACCGACATCGACTACCTCGTCTTCACCGACGCAGCGCGGTACGTCTCGCGCGGCGCATCTCCCTACGCGCGCGACACGTACCGCTACACGCCGCTGCTCGCCTGGCTTCTCCTCCCGACGGCATGGGACATCCCGGGCTTCTTCTCGTTCGGGAAGGCGCTGTTTGCGCTTGCGGATGTCGTCGCGGGCTGGCTGATCGCTAGAGTGCTGGTGTCGGCGTATGGGATGAGCCAGCCGAGGGCGCTGAAGTACGCGAGTGTCTGGTTGCTGAACCCCATGGTTGCGAATATCAGCACCCGCGGCAGCTCGGAGGGGTTGCTGGGGGTTCTGGTTGTGGGGTTGTTGTGGGCGGTGCTGAGTCGGAGGGTGACTCTCGCGGGGGTGATTCTGGGACTGGGCGTGCATTTCAAGATTTATCCGTTTATTTATGGGCCGGCGGTTCTGTGGTGGTTGGATGCGGAGAGGGATGGTTCCCCTTCGGCTACGGCTACAGCTAGAGCTACGCGGGAGAAAGAAAGGAACCAGGACATCATATCAAAGGCTATCAACTTCCTTACCCCCGCCCGCATCCACCTCACCCTCGTCGCGCTGGCCACCTTCTCCGCCCTCAACGTCTCAATGTACATCCTCTACGGCCTCCCCTTCGCCCACCACACCTACCTCCACCACCTCACCCGCATCGACCACCGCCACAACTTCTCCCCCTACAGCACCCTCCTCTACCTCTCCGCCGCAGGCGGCGCCCGCACCGCCTTCGAGTCCCTCGCTTTCATCCCCCAGCTTCTCCTCGCAGTGGTCGTCATCCCACTGGTCCTGGGGAAGAAGAGTCTGGCGGGGACGATGCTCGCGCAGACGTTTGCGTTTGTGACGTTTAATAAGGTTTGCACGAGTCAGGTGCGTTTCCGTCTTATGTCCTTCCCTGTTCTATTCGCCAGGGAGACAATGCTGATTGTCCATAGTATTTCCTCTGGTACCTCGTCTTCCTGCCTTTCTATCTCCCGTCTTCATCTTTGATGAAGAATCCGCGGAAGGGGATCCTTGTTGGGCTGTTGTGGGTTGTTGCTCAGGTGTGTCACCTCACTCTTCTACTCTCCTGCTGATGCTGACAAATATAGGCCCTCTGGCTCCAACAGGGCTATAACCTCGAGTTCCTGGGCTTGTCAAGTTTCGTGCCGGGGTTGTTCCTGGCGAGCTCGTTTTTCTTTGTGGTTAATGTTTGGATTCTGGGGATTATTGTGGAGGATGTGGGGGGTGTAGGCACTGGCTCGGCTTGAATAGGTTTGATTCTATGACTGGTGTCGGCATGTATATTAAATGGGTAGGTATATATGACACTAGTATTACACCGCCTGGCACTGGGCTTTCACTTTCATTCCATTGATTCATTAAGTTTATTCCGCCATCCATCAGATGAACGCAAGGGTATTGTACTCTGAACAAAACTTATCTAATCACATGGCTAACTGGTATCAGGTCAAGTATAGATCGAACCACAACGTGTCTTCGACTCCGTTGGGAGTCCGGAAGTCTAGAAGTCTGGCCTCGCATGAATCATCGGGACAGAAGTCCCCAGGTCAAGGCTTCCCGGCATCCGCGATGATCCTGTACGCGCAGGCATGTATGCTCAAGGGCCGCGCGCGAGGCAGAACAGCCCCGACGATCTGCGAGTTTGGCCCGTACTGCGGGTAGATGCCGTCTCTGAGCTCGACGAATCGCGCCTGCGGCCGGAACTCATTCAACGCATACAGAATCCGGTCGCTCCAGAGGCCGGTGCATAAATTGCCGGAAAGCTGAAAGTACGGATTCAGCAGGGGACAGGCCGAGTCGAGATCTATGAACCGGATGCGAATCTGATTCAAAGACGGATGGATTCCGAGGCTCTGGACCGCTCCCACGACCAGCTTCTCGAAGGAGCGGATGAAGTTCATATTCCCGATGCCGGAAAAGTCCTCAAAGAACGGAAAGACAGAGCCCGCCTTCTTTTCACGGCAGCATGTCTTGACTGCCAGATCTAGGTATCGGAGGTTTGACGTTTTGGGCCAAGGCGGCGACGTGTTGCTGGTTGCCTGGAAAAAACATGCGCATACCTTGCCCGTAAAGGTCAATGACATGAGTCTGGGGGCGATTTCTCCCAACAGGCGACATAGGTGTGGCGGTTGCGCCCCATCACTGAACCAGGAAGAGTGCGTGTTTTCCTTGTTCGAAAAGCCTTCCAGGCTGATGTTGAGGTGAAGAAGGGAGGGCGGTGGGTTGACCAGAACCTTGGCAATGGTGTCGTAGCCTTCGATTTTCGGTTTCGCATACGCACAGTGCCACTCCTGCAAACCCGGCAATGCCTGCGACAGGTTGCGCCAGTGCTGGTAGTCTCGCATGATATTCCACGCTCCTCGCATAACAAAGATCTGTATATTCGGCAACACCGGAAGGCGCTCCTTTCCGGCCAGCCCGTAAGGATCGTTCCTAAAATGACGGATCATCGGTGGTTTCTTGCAATGCCCCCCTTCAAGGGTGAGAATCCGCGCTTCGGGAAAGCACGCCTTTACATGGTGGAAAATGTCCTCCAGGGTGGCATTGTGACTGGACAAGTAGAAGGTGTGGCCTCGTGGATGAAAGGTATCAGGATTCTCCCACGTCATAGTGGCATGCAGAAGAGCTGTCACATCCATCACGGCTATGTGCTCGTCATGGAACCGCCGGCGCGGCTGATAGACCGTGACACTCCTGGCTGCCCGGTTGCCCCAGACCGGCACCCAGACCTCGACCTGACGGACATACTTGGCCAGATGGGGATGTGCACTGAACCAACTTGCACTCTCCGCCAATTCGTCCGTGGTGCCCTTGATCTTGACTGTCACGCGTGGTTAATAGCAAAAAAAGAGAGCAGTGGCAGAGCACAACTGACTATGTCTGTAGATTCGATCTTGCACGAGAACCCTCCACACTGGCGATATGAGGGCAAGATCGGAGAGCACCTTTCTCCTGGGATGGCGTAGACACCTGCTCCAATTACGGGCAGACTTCCCAGGAGCTCCCATTGTAAGCGCCGACACACGTTCCCCGAACAAGTGGTCAAGAATGGCCTCGTGAACTTCGGCCGGGAGATCATGGAAGCGCACCCCGGACCGATACGGCTGGGATCCAATCGACTTTACCTGCAATTCCGCCACTGTAGGGGTTGTAGCCTGGCAGTCCAGCTGACCAGGTTCAGTGGTGGAAGGAATCGGGCCATCGTGGATCTCAAATCCAGCGCTGGCACTTCGACTTGCTTCCTTGGAGTATGGAAGGGTAGGAATCACTGGAATTCTCTCCAGGGAGTTGACAGAGATAGGACGAGGGGGAGGGATGGTCGAGAGCATGTGGGGCGATGATGGGGATGAGAACAACTCAGAGGACATTTGGAGCAGGACGAGGAAGCGGAAAAGCAGTCACCCAACGTCAGAGGGGCAAAGCGAGAGTCGTAAATCGTGATGAATGGTGAAGGTCTACAGTCTCGCAGAGATCAGTAAATCTGTCAGCGAACGTCGACAACGTGCCGTGTGTCAAACATGAGGTTGTGCGGCGGAGAGAGAAGGCCTCGAAGGAAGTAGCAACCGGATAGGAATGGACCAGAAGGAGAGGATACCAGCAAGTGATAAACTCAGGTAGCATCAAGAGCAGCCAATGTATGTCATGGCAGCGATAATGCTGCGAGAGAGTATTTCCTTTTGCACCAGTCATGCAGAACAAGAAAGAGGGGAAGCAATAATCAAGCAGTCAGGTCGTTGGGCAGCGTCGGAGAGATAGCCGTGAATTATTATTTGAGGATGTAGTCAAGGAAGAGGTGAGTAAGAGAAGGGAGGCAGAATCGTAGAAAGATAAGAAGAGACGGCAAAGGGAATCAAGGGACGCAACCAGGCGCATGGGAAAAAGAAAAGGTGGAAGAAAAATTCGAGACAGAAAAGGGTAATAATTAGAACTAATACTTGCAGCGCGACAGTTGATCAATCCCCGGGATGGGAGGGAGATCAGTAGGGGGAGATACGTAGTGGATAGATAGAGATACATCGATGGGGGGTGTGACCGGCAGAATTTCTCCAAGGCTGTTATTCAAGGCGGACAGGGTAAACAACTCATTTTCATCTAGATAGATCATCTGCTGTAAAGGAGGCTAATTTCCCTGCAATAATGTAATTAGCTGGTTAATATTGATATGCAATGAACAATAATAGTGAAGCACACTACTAGTACAATGGTGTGGAGTATGCTATTTTTACTTCTCGAAGAAACTTGGAAAAGCACATGTAAACCACCGTGTCAAACCTTCAAACTATGCTAGATAACGTGCTGCTGAAGATTATCCTGGTTAATATATGTCTCCATCATATCATTGGTGCATAGTGAGCTGAATTGATGAGTATTCAGTCATAATTTATATCAATACTTTGATGATTCAACTCCACTCTTCTAACTATTGTTTGTTCCACCGCCCAAATGGGTCAGCCTCAGATCACCCTGGATCCATCATCCCACTAGTCACATCAGCCTGCCAAAGGAGTTAGAGTTCCTCTCAAGTCTCAACTCAACTACAATGGCTAGTGAGTAGTGGCTTAGGATCCGTAGGGATTTGTTTGATCGATTTTGCCACTAGCCTCTTCTTGTTTCAAGTGGGATTGGGAAATGAGAGTCCTCCAATCCGTTTACAACTAACCAAGGGAGCTACAGCCACTATTGTTGTGTGTAGACCCGCAATTTCTACCTGAGCCGAGTCTAGACTTCTCAGTGATAGGATTGACCACCCGCAGCCACTAAGAGACCTTCGGCTGCTCTGTATTCACAAGATCTCATATATATTTTACAGGAAATTGCAACGCCGTTATCGCCGGCGACGAAATCTAAATCGAGGCTCATCATCACTATCCGAGTCACGTTCTTCTCGAAGCCGTTTTTGACTTCGAGGTGCTGACGTCGCAGACTCGACCCTGGACATAGACACAGAAGCAGATTGGGACTGGGACTGGGCACGAGACGACCCGTCTCGGCTTAGAGACCGCTCGCGCTGGCTCTCTGATGGCCTAGGATCAGACGTCGCATGGCTGGTGACCCAGTAATGGTCGCCGATGCCAAAGTCCTTCCGTGTCACTTCCTCCAAGGGGACAATAACCGTCCGAATGCGATGCCGAGGTTGACCCGGCTCACCTTTCCGGTGAAATTTTTTGAAGTTCTTGCGTCCATTCCATCGCTCATCCCATCGGCTGTCCTCCGCGACACCAGGACGGGGCTTGATTTCCATCTCTTCTACTATGGCTAAGTTTTTGAGTTTCTCGACGTCCGTATCTCTGAGAGTGTCTTGAAGCGACTCCTCTTCCTCTTGACGGCGCTTGCGCTGGGCGTCCTCTTCCGCCTCTCGATGCTGCCGCGCCGCCTCGAGCACGTCCAACTTTTGTCGTTTGGGTTTGCGAGGTTCTTCTGTTTTAGGAAGGCTTTGTGACTCTCCAAGGCTGCGCTGTACTGTTCCGGCTCGCCGACGTTTCATTGCTGTAGCACCGGGCAAGAGACTGGAAACCAGATCTTCTTCATTGTCGAGAATGCTGGGCTGCTGCGAAGGGATTACAGATGAAGGCGGTATGTCCTGAACTGATTGCGACTCAGCCAAATCAGCTCGTTCGTTTTGCGTGTAGGTGGGAATTGAGGATATATCAAATTCATCGTCAAAGGATTTCACTTTGCTGCTGATGGGTCGAATCCTCGAAGACTTAGCCTTCTTTCTAGCTGGCTCACTTGGCTCCTCGACCGCTTGGGAATCATCAATCACCTCGACTCGTCCGTTAGGAGTCGCTGGGAGTTGCGATACTGGCGTTCGCCCAACCTCAGGACTGGACTCCGTTTCGGGCAAAGGCTGACACAGACAGGACGCATCATTTGCCAGAATGGCGTCAAGGAATTCGTTCTGCTCAATAACTCGCTGATCGGTCATCAGAGCGACTTGATTGCTCAGTTCAATTGACCACTTCTCCCATTCTCCCTTGGAACGAAATCGGACAAGGACTACCCCTCCAGGACCATCCCTCTCCCCCCCAAGGCCTTTCTGCCCAGCTGCATTCTTCATAAACTGGAAAATCTCCTCAGCAGTAGTTACGCCATTTTCTAGCGGGTATAGCAGGGCCTTTCCGTGCCCGTTGTTGATCGGATCCTGCAGGTTGCTGAATTGCGAGGCATCCCAGAAAACGAAAGAATAGTTCTCAAAGATGTTGATTCTGTCGGGCCTCGGTGCAAATGCCTCAGCGGACCGAGGGAC